GAGGAGGAGGAGGAGGAGGAGGGCCGGACCCGTGGGCTCCTCCGGGCCGTTTGTTTCAGCGGGCAGTTTTGGCGGAGCGCACCAACAGCCCTCCTGCGGGAGCGGCCTGCCCGGAGGGAGCGGCGTGCATCCTCCGCGCCTGGGGGAGAGACTCGCAGTCCCGTGGCAGAAACGGCAAAGCCCCGAGCCCGGGGGTTCTCCGAGCTCGCTGGAGGAGCTCGTGGAAGCTCTTTACTTGTGATCGTGCCACTGTGAAGTTGCCAATGCAAAGTGCGAAGCAGCATCGCTTCAGGCACCGAGCCCAGTTCCCTGGGGCGGGGTTCGGACTCGGCATTTGCAGACACACAGCGCCCAAGGACACGGTCACAAAAATCTTGTAACTACCTTTATCAGCCTTGGGAGCAGACGCGGCAATTCTATTTAACCTTTCAGACTTTGACTCGGTTGTTACGTAAGAGTATGGTGAAGTAAATAATAAAGAACAGCATGACATTTGTTTACTTTTGCACGTATGACAGCTTTTAATCCGACATCCTTGTTTTCTCGGCTGGGTATATCTCTGCCTTCGCATTACTGCTTTTAGGTTGCAGCTGAGTCAGGGCTGCCACCTACATTTTCCTGTAGCCTGTACACGAGAGAGTTGACAGCCAGAGAAAATCTGAGGAGCTTACTGCTCATTGACCAGCCCTGGCAAGGTGAGCGTCATGAACCGTACAGAACTGAACCTGCCAGTGAGTCGGAGTGAGCAAATACCGGGACAAAACCGCATTCATAGCACGGAATGGAGAGTGGGGTATCTTGGACTTGTGTACCCTGATTTGCTGTAGGACTGACGTAAGCTTAAAAAACCAAATTCAAGGTCACTTCTGTTATGCTCTGCACTTTGTAGAGGATGGGGAGTTACGGCGAGGATGGGATTGAGTTGGGTGCAGGGGCTTGGGGTGGCTTCTGTGCCCGCTCTGCGTTCCACGGCCGGGGACCACGGCGCCAGGGGAGATGCAGCCTCACAGGTTTTTCTGTCAGCTCCCACTTGGCAACCCCTCCTGGCCCTCTGCTCTCTGGAGCACAAACCTACCTGTGTCTGCTGGGCCTTGGCTGTAGAAGGATTTTTGGGTTGCAGTTTATAAGGTCACGGGGCTTGGAAATTGCAGACTAAATAGCTGCTCGGTAACATGGGTTCTGTGGCCGTCTTGTCCTGTTCAAAATACTCTTTTCATTTCCCTCCAGAGGAGTGGTAAAATCTATGAAATACTTAGATTGGCATATGTGTACTTTAATTAATTCTACTGGGAACTTCCATAGCTGTCATTGCCGAAGACTTTTTTTAAATAGAATGTTTACTATGAATCTTCAGTGAGTGCTTCAGGAACCTCATGAAACTTAACAGGAGAATTGAAACTCCTTGGTAACAAAATACCCACTGTTTAGGAAAAAATGCTTACATTGATGCTTCCCATTTTTACTAAAACCCCAGATTTAGCTTTTTTCCCTCACTTGCAATTTTGTATCTGAGCCCCTTTTATTTGAGGATACGCTGAAGCCCAGTAAGTTACCGTGGCTGTGACCATGGCAAAAATAACGGGCAGCTGCTCTCAGCTTCAGCCTCTGCAGCTCAGGAAAAGGGATCTGTGTGTCAACGCTTGTTTTGTCAGTTGATCAAACTGTATTAGAATTGTCTTATTTCTGGGAGCCGGTTCATTTGCCTGCAGCAGAAAAAAAAAATAAAAGGTGACTGCTGAACCATCTCCTGCCCCTTGCTGGGCCGTTCTCACCCGGCTGGGGCAGAGCTGTTGAACCTGCTTGGCTCAGCCTCAGCTGCTGGAGTTTGCTGGCCAGACCCGAAAGGCAGAGGAAGGTGCGTGGCGGGGAGGATTGCCCAAGCTCCTGTGGTTGGAGCTGTTGTCAAATAGCTGTTGGTTTTCCTGTGATTGGGCAAATTCCGTGGGCTGAGGCATTTGAGAGACCATTGCTGCTCCTGGAGAAAGCTTCATCCGAGAAAGCTTTCGAAAACTTCCTCTTCAGTTAAAGGCGAATAGAAACTAGTAAGAATTTTTTTTTTCCTTTGTATTTTAGGAACACTTCAAGAATGAGTCCACCACAAGATAGAAGTAGAAATTCCTGCAGCAGTGAGCCTCTGGCAAAGTGCCTTCAAGCGAAGAAGGACTTGGAAACAGCTATATCCGGAATTGTCAAAGCTGAACAACAGATTAAAGAGAACTGGCGGGAGGTAATTTTAAATTATTTTTTAAAAATGTTTTAATAACTAGCATGGCTTTAATGACAGTTTTTATTATTCCAGAGTACTTTCTGTTATGGTGATGGTCTGACATTTTCCTAGAGACTTGCAAGCATCTTGCTGTGTAGTTTGCTGATGCTCTTGATAGAGGTGTTCCTGTGAGCGTAGGCACAGCGACTGTCCTACAGCTCTTGGCTGAAACATCAGAATAGAGGTATCGGGAATGACACTGTTCTTGGTACTTCTTTAAAAGTAGCCCTGGAACTTTTACTAACTCGAGTGGTGTTGGGTGACTGTGGTTAGCGCTCGAGAAATAAATTGCTCCCAAAAGACCACCTACCTGTGACACGCGGTATTTTGGAACCTGCACAGCACCTGCTTGTCCCTGCGGTGTGAGAGGTGCTCTAGCAGTGGTACCCGTTGCCTTGCAGGTGAAAGCCAAGATCCACAGCCACATCAGCCGGCAGCTGGAATGCCTGCGCAGCCGCGAGGTCTGGCTCTTTGAGCAGGTGGATCTCATCCAGCAGCTCAAGGAGGAGGCCTTGCAGCAGCAGGCACAGCAGCTCTACTGGGTAAGATTTGGTTGTAAATCCTTGCATTGGCATTTTTAAGTAAACTTTGTCCTTCTTGTCCTTAAATTCTCATCTTAGAAGCCAAAAGGCTCACATGTGTTTTGTCTCCTGTGCAGTACTTGGGACAATTCAATTGCCTTATTCATCAGCTGGAACGCTCCTACAGTCACGAACTAGCAAACCAGATTTCAGTTTGCCTGGAGAGGTAAATATATTTTATGATGCAGGTTAACACAATTGGTATTTATTTTGATTTTTCAATCTGATTTTTGATTTTAGTAGAACTAACAATAGATCTGACTCACTGTCTCTATGTCTTTGATGGTTCCTAGAAATGAGATCTTTAAAGCAGCCTGAGATTCGATCCCTCTCATTTTTTTTTAGCTTAGATGGAAAAAAACAGGACTGTGACAAGCAGGGCGGGTACTCATTTGTGCAGATTATTTCAAATATTAGTTGTTGATGGCAAATGAATTAAGGAGAAACTTGTGTTTTGCTGGCTACTCATTCTGTTCTCGGTTTGTGGATAGGCATCTCTTGATTTTTTTATGCAAGTATTAAAAGTCTTTTTGTTACCTAATTAGTGCCAAGTCAGCTTGGAAGCCTTTTTATGAAATAATGGACTGATTCCCAGAACATGACAGATAAAGAAGACTGTCTGCCCCCTTTTTTTTTTTTTTTTTTCCTTTCTATAACTGTTGTCTTACTCTTTCAGACTGGACAGTCTAACTCTTAAACCAGAGGAGTCTTCCATCCTGAATTTTGAGGCTGACACATCTTACCTTCGCCAGGCTATCACCTCTTTTGGTTCAATTAAAACAATGGTAAGCACCGAGACTTTCCTGGGTTGGAATAGTTGAGAAATTATTTTTTTTTTTGAAGGCAGTAGTGTGATATATTCCAAGAAATCTTTCTAATTTTAGTTGTACATATTTCTACAGCTTGAAATGGATCTTTTGTACGAGTCGTAGGTTTAGCTGCAAAGGATATACACAGGGGTTTATTAACTATTTCGTGTAGTTCTGATTTTGACCGAACTTAGATCTAGTTATATACATGTAATTTTGTTTTATCTTGTCAGAGACTGAGGGAATGATGATTGTATTCTTATTCTATTCCAGCAACTGAAAATTAATGTTATGATTTTCTTTAGGTCTTAATAGTTATATCACATAGATGGCTTTCTGTGACACAGATGTTTTGGGATTCTTATGTAAGCAGAGTATTTCCTGTTATTATTGGAGATAATTCCCTTAGAGGCAGTGGACTGAAGGTAGTATTTTTGTAGTAAATCTTTCTCCGTTCTTGTTTTAGATTTGAGAAAATTGTTAGCCACGAAGAACTGACCAGTTGGAACTGCACTTCTGCTTTATTGTAGAATTCATCTTGGAAACTGGACAAAATTGAGATTTAAATTAAGTTTAACTTTTCTTTCCTTACAGCAAACCTCAGAGAGAGAGAGTACTTCTCCCTGGTTCCCAGGGCAGAACTGCGCTCTGATGAACTGTGAGCAGGTAAGAGGAAGACTTGTATCTGTGAATGTTCAGTCGTGTTAAAGGACAGGCGGAACTGGAGCACAGTGTGTTGGCTTGCTTGAGTAATGCCTTCTGTTTGTTCATGAAGACGTTTGAGTGGCTGGGTTACACGTATCAGAACTGGGTGTTGTAGAAGCTGTTGCTCCCCTTTCTCGTTATTTGCTGTCTGAGGAATCTGGGATCACAAACCAGTCTGTCAGTGCAGTGGCCTCAAGTCATACTGGCAACTGCAGATTTACTTTTTTCTTAATTAGAAGGGACTGGTTTTCCTTTTGGTTCAGAGGCCTGTTGAATGCCTGTTTTGATGTTATTACCTCAGCAATTTAGACTTTCTCATAAGCAAGAACATTCTTCCTCAGCAGAAAACATTGTGTGGGACAGTGAGTGCCTCGCTCGCTGACTGGTTACTTGGAAGCAGGCCTGGGGGTGTTTGCCAGGCTCCGTATATTCCCAGCACCAATCTGGAAGAATGGATTATGCAAAACCACGTGTCAGAGCCCAGCCAGGTAAGTGTTAGACACTAACTGAGTCTTTAATAAAGGGGCAAACGCTGTGTGAGTGCAGGCAGAGGGGGCTGGGAATGAAACCTCCCGTAACTCTCCTGCTCTGCCTCGTGTTCAGCCAGTACCTTTGCAGTTCCTATTGGAATGCTCCAAGCTGTACCGTTGTCTTTTAGTGTTAACGGATGCATTTCGATGTGTCTTTACTAGGATTTAAATTCTTCCAAAGTCTGTTACTTCGAGCAAGCCTGGGGAAATCTGAAAGATTTGGAAAACTGGCTCCTGCAGAATCAGCAGCGTGACGTTGGTGAGAAGACAGAGTCCCCTGGCCGCAAGGACTCCACCTCTAGTTCCAACTCGTCCTTTTCCACTATCGGAAAGGTGGAGGAATTGGAATCCCTTGGACAAGAAGAGATGGACCTTTCTGACTGGCTGCTCACTCCTGACACAGAAAATGGAAGTACTGCTTCAGATGAAAAATGGAAGTATGAATTTAAACCTTTCAGGGAAGAATTTAATTTCAATGATTGGCTCCTCAAAGCTGAAACATGTACCAGTTGTCGTGGTAGCCAGATCAAAAGTGTGGAAATCGAGAACCTGGGAAATCTGAAGTGCCTGAATGAGCATCTTGATGGAAAGAAGTCACCCGTTACCTCTGCTGTAAACGCCTGGCTTCTCCAGCATCCCCAGGCCCCCTTTAAAGTGGAAGATGTCTGCAAAGCTAACGAGCTGTGTGCCAGCTTTTCAGAATGCGTGTGTGATGAAAACTGTGGAAGAGAGGCTTTGTGTAAATGGCTTCTGAAGAAAGAAGGGAAGGATAAAAATGGAGTTGCAGTCAGCCAGAAAGATGTACCAAACCCTGAGCAGGAGAAGACCAAGTCTGCAGCTAATACCTGGCTTAACCCTGCGCAGCAGCTCACAGGGGAACCCCTTAGTGCAGAGAAAGCAGATTACTCAGCAGAGATCGCAGAACCCTTCAAAGTGTTGCTGGAAAGGCCTCTGACGAGCTGGCTGGCCACGTCTGAGCACAAAGCAGAAAGCCCAGAAGAAAAAGCGAGTAGGGAAAAAGCAGATAATAGTTTCAAGAGTCCCTTCCTAGACCTCCTGGCTCCATTCCACCTCCCCTTGAATGTAAACAGTTGGGTGTTGACTTCAAACAACCTAGAAAATGTGAACCCATCTCCCCCGGAAGATAAATGGCTTCTACGCAAGAAAGCACAAGTGAGCATGTTCATAAGCTTGTGTCACTGCTGTGTCTTGAGCCGATGTGCTGGGTTTAGTCTGGCCAAATTTAATGCCTGCCTTCTCCTAAATTTGTAGCTCTGGATAATACTGACTGACGGTTTCAAGGTTTCTTAGCTCTTGTAATGTTTTCAGTGATTATTACTTAGTTAAGTAGATGAGGCCAGTGTTTAACACACAACAAGTTAATTTTGAAGCACAGCTAGGCTTACTAAATGAAGAAAGTATTAATCTTGAAGACTCAGAAGGCAGGTTTTTTTTTTTTTTGTGAACACTTGACAGAATTTGAAGATGCACCGGAATGTATTTGTGTTTGGAGCTCAGTTACTCATGTGGCTTCTCTTTCAGGACTTTGGCCTTCCTACCGTTTGTGACCTCTTTGCCTGTATGAAACTCAGTGGAGATAAGGAGAAATGGCTGTATCGGACTCCTTTGCAGGTAGGATGCACAGAATGTGTTGGAAGAGCTGAGCCTAAACGTGGCTCGGGGGTGCAGAACACAGACGATGGCACCTAACCGGTGTCTTCAGAGTTCTCAGTACGTAGTGTTTCTCCCCATACACCTTTTAACAGCTTGGACCATTCTGTTTTTTCATTATTCCTCCTCTTTTGATCACAAGCCAGGGAGAGAATAATGTTTTTGAGTAAATCACTCTTCAGCTGATTGACACTTGCTGAAGTGTTGGTACCTTCTAATGTAACTGGTATGTGCAATTAATGTCTAAATTTTGTGGCAGCTTCTTTCTTATCTCAGTGGTGTATTCACAGCTGACGTCATGTTTCTCCTCTCTGCCAAGATAACTCTTTATCACTGTTTTTGAAATTAATCAAAAAAGTCCTTAGCACGTGTACTAAAAAACCTTAAAAGGCAAGATACTCAGTTCTGGGAAGTGTTTTAGTATGTTTTCCACACCCCCTCCTCCCCCGGGTGTCTTACACATGTTTTTTTCCAGAAGTGTTGCTGTTTCTTGACGAGAATAACCCCATTTTAAACTTGTTTAGATGTGAAGAACTGGAAGCATTGACATCATCCCCTTCCTGCTGATCGATCGCACATCACGCTGAGTGACTGCAGCCAGCTGGATGCTTGTGTTTGTGTTTGCCCGTCTGCTTTTTTTTCTAGAATTATTACAAAGATTACTCATAGAACAGAGTTATGGTGCAGAAGATGCCTTTTTGTTATGATTAATTCTGAAGTGTAAGCCCACTGAGCATAAGCAATCTGATACTCTAGGGGTGTTAGTAAATTCCTGTCTGTTATGGGACTACGTGAATCTTCTCTAATGGGTTGTCACTTGAAGTATGTTGAAGCCAGTGCAAGTGTAAAGCCCCATCTCTGGTGCTGTGAAACGTCCCCCTTTGGCGGGGGCTGCAGAGGCGTTCCCGTCCCTTCCAGCTGCTACTGCTCTGGTGTGAGCTGGGTACCGGCTTGCTGGGATGGCAAGATAACTTGGGCTGACTCTGGAAGCAATTTCTTTTACTGAGCAGTTGTTAACTTTAAGTTTCATTTGCACCCTGTATCGGTGCCTCTCCCGGCTGAGGTGGTGGTGTCCAGATTTTGAAGACGTGAATTTATGGGACCTGACACGTGATGGGAGACTTGGCAATTTAGTTCTCAATGAAAACTTTTCTTGCCATCTTTGAGCCATTCAGAGAACAGAGTAGGGTGTTCATTTTTCATGCATCAGTAGACCAGAGCCTACCATGTCCCCAGCTTTTAAAAACTATTTGCATTTTACTGAAAAAGCTGTAAGGTGACCTTTATGTCTCTGCTGCTTTTAGAAAATTCATAATGAACCTTTCTTGACTAAACCACTGGAAAGTTGGCATCTTAGCCACATAATATTTAAAGGTAATATTGGGGGAATTTGATGCCTTCTCATCAGATTGAAATTGGGAAACACTAACTTGGCAAACTGGGTGGCTCCCACTGACCCATTTTAGAGATATTAAATCTGTGATTTCCATGTTCCGCCCATGAAAGTGGGGTCAGGTACTTCTGATCCCGAGAGCTGTGGACGTCACATGAGTGACACCTCCTTGGCTATTGAGCATTTTGAGCCTGTAGGAAGGAGCACGGAGGTGGCAGATGGAAATGTGGATCACGTCTTGCAACGTGCGTGAAAAACTGTGAAGTTACGTAGTGTCTGGTGCAACTTCTACTCACTTAACAAATTGCTTCTGGTGACTATAAAAAAAGCTTCCCCTTCTCCCCCTCCCTGCAGCCTGCCTGGGAGTAAAAGTGAGTTCAGTTCTTCACCACCCTGTAGAAAATAAATTGTTAGTGAGATCCAACCTTGGTATCATTCTGCAGGTGAACACGTTCCTGTCTGACAGATCCTGTGCATTTGTTTAAAAATGAGTTTTCAGTCTGGGAGGGGGGCGCTGCACCTCTGAAACCAGCCCTGAGCGGGCTGCGTGTCAGTGGGCCACTCCAGGCTCTCGTACTTTCAGAGTCGGGGTTTCCTGCTGGACGCAGGAGGGTGGTTTTGAAGCTCACTTTCCCCGTTGCAGCTGCCCCTGTTGCTGCGGGGGACAGGGGCTGTGCCTTGCTCCAGTGCCAGCCCCATCTGATGAGCAGCTGAAGTTCCTGCAGGTGATTGACGTGCAGCCCACCTCTAAAAACCCCTTGTAGCTGTCATTGTGTGCTTTGTCACTTCCTTACGAACCTTTAAAACTTGGGGGTATGTAATCCTTTACTTACTCAACTGACTTGTTATCACTAATTGATATTTATGTAAAACATCGATTAGTCTTTTCCATTAAAAAATAATTGCAGCCAGCGGGCATGGTGTCTCCTTTGCAGGGTGGGTAACGGGACCCGCTGCGGCGCGTTACCGGGCTGTGGAACAGCTCTGTGACTGCGAGTCAGTTCCTCTCAGACTCTGCTACTCTCCTGGCTTCTGAATATTCCCTTCCCTGCGTGTTTTGTTTCTTTTCTGTATCGTTAAACTCTCCTGAGCCAGCGTGCAGCTGGGCCTGGCCCGGCTCCCTCAGCGTTCCGCAGTTTCTCTCAGGGGAGCAGAGGGTCTGTGTTGGGAGCTGCCCTGTGCACAACTCCTGACCTAAAGGTTTAACTTCCAAAGACAGGGTAAAAAATACCTCAGGCCTTTTAAAAGGAAGGAAGACAGAGCAGCAGGAGCAGAGAGTGCTCTTCCTGGCTTCTCCAGGTAACAGTTGGGGATCTTCTGTGCAATCAGAAGTTTCCTGGGTTGTACCGAGGAATGGGGTCCTTCCAAAACGCTGAATTCTCTCCCTCCCTGTGGAGCTGGAGCAGTTACCTCCCACTCCTCCTTCAGCTGAGTTTCTGTTCCGTATCGGTGAGAGCGTGGGGCTCTACGGCTCCTTCCAGGGGTGGGAGCGGGCCCCAAGGGCTGCTGTGGGCAGGCAGGGAAGGGCCCAGCTCCGGAGATGTGTCAGGGCCGGCAGCAGGGCCCTGCCCTGCCCGCGGCTGCTCCCCGCGCTCCCGGGGCTCCTCTGCTGCCGTGCCAGGAGCCCCCAGGGTGGGGGCAGAGGGCGGGCAGGGGCCGAGAGGCCCCCCGGAGCACACTGATGGTGCCGTGGGAGTACCAGGAGGGGCTGCAGCCCCCTTGGGTGTCCCTGCGGCACCCAGCACCCACCAGCACAGGCCAATACTCACAGACCATACAAAGCTCCTAAAACACACCCATTCCCTGGCTAGAACTTATTAAGCACAGGGGTAACCTGTTAAAGCACAAAAAAGGACTTCTCCCCCACCTTCTTCAGTCCCAGGTTAGGTCAGAGGAAACCAGCTCTGAACACGGGATTGTTTTTTCTGCCCTTGCAGCCATTTCCCTCCTGTTTTCAAAAGCAGCTTCTGCTGCGCTGAGGAAGCTGGAGGCTCCTACCACATGTCAGTGATTTTTCAATAAGTAACCCCTGCTGTAAGGGAAGTCACCTGCCAACAGGGAATGGAGAAATTGCCCTTCTCTGTGCCAAAGACTACACAAGAGCAGTTTTACAAGATTCAAAAAGCTTTAATTATACCTCAGGCTCCCTCCTTGCTGCCACAGCGTGGAAAGGTGTCACAGACCCATCACCCAAACCAGATGCCACATGCAAGAGGACAAAACACCTCTCCGAGATGGCCGAGGCCTCTTGTGCTCACATTTGTGTAATGCTGCGTGGGAGGGCGACAACTTGCCAAAGCCTGCTTTGCAACTTTCTTCTTTTTATTCCTACTGAACTTGGATACACTTCTGGTCACAGCTTTAAGTAGCAACTTCATATTGATTGTTCACCATTAAATTGCAAACACAGCAAGTCCTGGCACAGGACATCAGAAAGATGTTCTCTGTACTCCACAGTCACCTCCCTCGCTCTTGTATTTCATAGCTCAAGCTGGAGATCGCTCCTATATGAAGCTATGAATCACACAAACAGGTTATGAACCAAAGCTTTAACAGCCCCAGAAACAGCCCTCGCACAAAAATGCCCTCGGCTCTGCCCCCGAGGCAAGCAATTCCAGGCAATCTGAGGTTATTGCAGACCAGATAACATGCTAAACTGTCCCAAGAGTCAGCCTAGCCTTGAGGTTGTGGCGCTTTGAACTTACAAAAGCTTGTGCCTACAGTATCTCCAGTAAGCTTCACAGCTTTCCCACGTTAATTAGGGGCAGAGACCTCCTGGGTAAGTCTCTAGCAAAGCTGAGACACAGCATTTACAGCGCAGGTGAGAAAAGACCCTGCTCTTTCCTTCATGCTCCATCTGGTTAAGTGCTGGCATAAAGCATCTACTCTGAGCTGGTACCCAGCAAAGCTGATGGAGTTCAGCCATGAAGGCTCCTTAGCTCCTGCCCTATAAAAAGCCAGGCTCAGAGGTACCCTCCTCTTAAAGATACTTCCCTTTGAACAAAGCTGAATTTCTTCTCAGAGGAAGGTAAGAGCTATGCCCTTTACTGTTTTTTTCTGTCTCTGTTTTCTTGAGTGCAACATAGTTATGAGCTGTCTCAGTGGGAAGAATTCAAGTAAAGCAAACTCTTGTTTTGTATTGTTATCTACTCTGAAGTTTCTTGTTTATCCCTTGCCCTGCCTTTGCACTGTCTCAAACCTGCGTAATTGTTCACAGACTATTTAAAAACTAAAGGAATGAGCTGTTATGCAATTACTGAACTAATTCCCAACTTCCTGTTTTATTTATCTGCAAACAATGCTTGGTACTTGGTTTAACACTGGAGACAGTGTAGGTTCATCCCATCTCTTCATTCTGCCAATAATTTAAAAATGTTACTTGGGGAAGAAAGCTTGTCACTGATTAAAACCCTTGTAATAAGTAATGAGAGGATTATTGATATTGTTTGGTTTCTAACTGTTGGCCAAAAAAAGTTCTGAGATCCTGGAGCACCCAAGTGTTTTGATAATCCAGTGGCAGCTGTTCTGCAACAGCAATTGTACCTCCTCCAGAAACAACCAGTTCCTTATTTATTAGAGCAAATAAGGGAGTGGAGCTGAGCCCTGGTACTCACCATCACCTCCCATCAGGAGACAATCAGCCTGCTGGTTCACTTCCCCCCACCCACTAACTCCCACAGGATTCTGTCACACGGGTCCTTCAAAACAAAACTGTGTAAGTCCCTGGATGCAGCACATTTTTGTCTTAGCAGCAGTAGGAACAGCAAAGCACAGAAAGACTGTCAGTACCACCCTCTTTATTGATGACCATGTCCCTCTGCACAGCTCACCCCCTTCTGTCAGGACAACCCACCCTGCCCTGGGCCCTTGCTCCTCCGGGCAGGGGCTGCACGCTGGCAGCCTGCACCGAGGAGCTCTGCGGTCACAGACTTTATTACCTGGTAACCTGGTAGCCTGCGGGTGCAGCTGTGGAACACCAGCAGCCTCGTAGCTCTGGCCCAGGGCTACCTGCTGAGCGTGTCAGGGAGGTGCTATCTCGGTGGCCACTTTATTCACTTGCAGGTCCGACAAATATTGCTGCCTCTCCAGCAACTGGCTGGTGGGAAGGAAAGGGCCAGTCCAGCTACATGGTGTCAAGAGGTTCCTCCCAGCGTAGCTTCTTCGGTTTCACACTAATTGTAAATAAAATAGGGAGGGGCGCCGGGCAGATCTCGCAGCTGCTCTGCTCCGTGATGGTCAAGTGTGTCCTGCGTCCCCGGGGGGCTGCCCTGCTCAGGGGCTGCCCTGCTCACAGGGACTGCCGGGCCAGGGAGCCCTTTAGGTGCTCCCAGTTGTTATAGAGAGCGTAGAGGCCAGTCAGCGTCAGCCCTGCGACACCACCTCGTGCTATCCCACGCACACCACCTGCAGAAAACAGATTAAAACCCATTAAAGTTGTGTCTGAAGATACGGTCAGCTCCAGCAACTTCCAATCAGCTGTTCAAATCCAGAGGAATCTCAATGAAATGCAGTTTTTCTTTTTTGAGTAACTTTTCAGAAAGGGTACCTGTGCTAATTCTACCTACTCAAACCTCCCAGCAGGCTCAAGAAAGGTCATTCCTGATCCTGACACTAATTCTGCTGGTACAACTCCCCCTCAAACCATCAGCACTGCTGCCCGAGTGAGCCACTACAGAATATTCAAAGCAAAGATGGGTTTTCCTACTTTATCCTCTGCACCTGTCCTCAGGGCAGGTGTTTACAGAAAGAGATAATCTCTTCCTGCTTCAAGTTCTCCATTTAGGATGTCGGCTGTGGTAACTGGGTTTGGGAGGAAGGAGAAAGGGCAGGAGGGAAACAGGTGGACACAACAGCAGCTGATGTGGACACGACCTTGAGCACCAGATTCATGAGGGCCATCAGGCAGATGGCACACTGCCTTTGTGCCTTGGGAACTGTAAAGCCCTTTGAAAAAAAAAAAAAAAAAAAAAAAAGATGAAAGAGATCAACTATAAAGAATTTACCAGGACATACATAGAACAACTTTCTGTATTCTTACTATCTTCAAAATTATCTTCTTGCAATGGCAAAAACTGAGTCACATAGGTGATTAAAAATATAGGTATTTTTTAAACTGCCCACTCAAGACTTGAAGCTTCTGCAAGCTGTGAAGGTAACAACACAGGGCAGGTCTGGCTGACAGCAGCAGGCAGCACACCTGGCTGGAGCTCGGAGTCAGATGGCATCACAAGGCCCTCCCACCCCTGAGGGTTGCGACGGACAGGGGCAGAAGTAGAGACTTCTGTTGCTTTTACTAAACAGCAGCTGCTTCTGTTCCTCAGCAGTACCAAGCGCCTTAGTGAAGCTCCCAGAATGTGCTACAAATGCCCAGGAACACCGCGAGGGTGACCCTCAACACTCGGAAGACTCACGGAGTTTGGTTCTGCAATGTTTATCAATCCCAGCAAGTCAGATCATGTGTACAGTGTATAGAACAAGGCCAGTTTCTGCCTACAGCCAGATAAACCCTGCCTGCTTTATTGGCAGAACTTGACTCTGGAATTCAGGTTCCTCAAACTTGAAAAGAAACGCATCTCACTAATCAGTGATTTTTTTTTTTTTTTCCTCCATCGCACGTCATAAAGTTGTCTCGCACAATTGCATTTAGGCTTTACTGGGGCAAAAGCTGCTGGCGTCAGTTAGACTGAGACTGCCTTGCCCAGGCTGTAAGATCAAATGGGTTTCATTTTAGCTGTTGAACCCACTCCCATTGCCCAGGCACGTAGTGAAAACAAGAAACTGCAGAAGTGATAGCAGAAGTTGGACTTGGTACTAGAGGTCATGTCTAGCTGTAGTTTCTAGAAATGTCATTTTCAGAGCAGCTGTGAGGATTCAAGGGTTCTCTGGGATATGAGCCCGAGTTCGCTGTTGAGAACCCAACAGCTCTAAGGAAAGCCATACTGATGATGCACCTATGTGCCAAAATCAGGATTTAGGAATGTGAATGTAGACTTCTGTTTTTGATAATTCACCCTGAGTTTTATGGCACAAAAAGCTTTTCACATGAAGGGGTTGCAGCTGGGTACACACAGAAGTAACCCTGTGCGAGCAGCTTCTGGCAAAAAGCCACCGGTGAAATTTAAAGGACACTTTCTGTGAAACAAATATTTGAGAAAATCTCTAAAAATACTAACCCCTCGTGACTTTTGGGAAAAGTGAACGAAACATTAGAGAGCTTGATTTTCTACTTTTTATATTAGGGAGCAATTGCTCACAGAAGAAATCTCCACAGAGGGCTCCTAACTGTTCTGGGGTACAGGGAAACGCAGGGAATGCAGAGCAGCCTGGGAGTGCAACGCAGTACAGAGCCACGATCACTCCTGGAGACTCTTCCCTCAGCCCCCAGGCTCAGTTCCTCTCCTTGTTCCTTAAAATACTATTCTGATGGAAGAAAGGTAGGTTAAAGGCTGACCAAGCCTGGTTCCAGATTCTGGGGAGTTAGGGTTGGACAAGAGCAGTATCTTCTCTAATGTGGCTACCTGAGCTGCTTTCTAGCATCCATGCAGCCCTGGACACAGGGATGGTGGCAGCTGAGTCCACTTACAAAGTGCCAACCACCGGGCCTAAAGCAATCTGTTGGTCTTGCAGACAACTTAGGGACTTTGCTGGAGAAGCTGTTTCAGTGCAAGTCTGTTTCATAAACAGGAGCTAAACTTTTGCAGTTGCTACAGCTGCATGACTGAGTTAGAAATAAGTCCAAGAAGAAAACATGTAAGAAATGTTTCTTACCAGGATCTCTATAGCTCTGCTACAAAATTTTACCATTGTTTTGTAGCAGTCGCACCTAGTTGCTGAACTATCCACAGTAATTACAAAAAAAGGAGAGAAAAAACCTTTCCTTTCCCTAACTGGTTAGATTTGCATTTGAGTAAATACCTCCAGGTCTGTGGCAGACATCAAACAGTAATGCACTGCAGAACGCAGCCTGGTTGCTGGGCAGGGAATGTTAAAACCCTCTGAGAAGATTACCTTGTTTAAAAACCCCATAAAATTCTCCATTCCCATCCCAGCTGTGTTTGCATGATAGAACACGTTCCCACCCCTCCTCTGCCATCACTCTCTGTGAGGCTCTGATACCAAGCCTGCCTTGACAAACCCTGCTAGAAACACGGTCGTAAGCCTCTAATCTTGCATGGCCGAGTAAGATAACTGAGTCCAAGCTGACAGACATTTCTGAAAACTGGTATTTTGAGATCGGGCAACTTGCACAATAGTTGAGAAGCTGCTGTGGGTTTCCAAAGATGTACCTGATGCTCTCTAAACGAGAATTTATATGGCCTAACGTGAGATTTTCCATTTGGGACCTCACTGACTCTGTTTTCAGAATGTTATCCCACTATCCTGGGATGTTTAAAGCAAGAACCATCCAACAGCAACCATCAGAAATACCTTAACTGAAAACCCAAACCCACATATTTATGCCAAAAGAAGTGTAATAGTTAAGTTGTAAAAGAAGCATCATAGTTAAGTTGTAAATAGTTTTGTGTCTTCTAATCTCTCTCTCAGATACTCAGAATGAAAACAATTCCTCTTCCTTTGGGGCTTCCAGGAACAAAAATATTTTAAAATGGTTTAGAGGGCTTGACTTTTCAAATGTACAAGGCAACCTCAGTTTTTCTCAAAATTCAAGCCCAGTGGTAGCTAACCAGGCCGCTGAACCACCAGGCACACTGTTTGTTTGAACATCTGTGGGTGGTCCTATGTCAACAAAAAATTCAAAAGGCTTCCTCCTGCTGCTCCACGGGGGTCATTTTATGAAATCTTTTAAGTGTGGGCACAGTCTGTGGGTACAGAATTACTGAGAAAACTGATAAACTTCTTTTTGGAAACAAGGTACATTCCAGAAAAGCATGTTCCACTTTCATAACTGCTGCAGCTAAACCAGTATTGTAGTTAAAATACAGAAACAACAAAGCTTCAAACAGGGAAAATTTCCTGTAGTTACTGTGGTGTGAAGGGTAAATTTGAAAAACAGTAAGAATTTACAATTTAATTTAAAAGTTTATAAGTATCAGAGCTGTTTAGTCAAACATGACTAAAATTCCCTGTTTTCTCACGAAGTGAAAGCAGCAGCACCCGACTGATGGGAGACAACTTCAGCTGTTGTAAATGGCAGCAAGAACCCTGCAAACCCCTGCTGCACTGAGAACCTGGTTCACTGCTCCTGCTTAGCAGAGCTGGGCAGAAGGCAGCACCACTGCTGTCAGGGGCCATGCCTATTCTCCCATAGTAGCCCTCAAGTAACAAAGAAAGCCTCAACAAGCTACTACCTGTAGTGCCTGCCTGTAGTTTGCCCTTACCTCTTTCTTATTTCAGCCCTGAAATGAAATCTTTTCACTAAACTCCACAGGATTAATAGTCCTATAGACTTGTTACACTAAATGCAGGTTTTAACAGAGGTTCTTATTTTCTAAAAAGCCCGACAGCTCTGAACTTCAAAGTTCAGAAGCAAATCCTTTACTTGCTTTTCTTCAAATAATGCAGAAAATTAAGATATCTCAGGGCCATATTTACATCAGTCTGCAAAAAGCTCCTCTTTCCTCCTCCTCATCAAACAGAAACAAGGAAAAAAACCCCAAACCCTGCCTGGCCCAAAGGAAAACATAAATTGAGCCCAAAGCAAGAGGCTTTTATATCTCAAGTACCTAGCTAACACACCTGCCCTGAGCTACCCACTGAATGTCACAAACCCAATCTTTAGCTCTGGACAGACTTTACTGCTGGCAATAAAACATTCAGCCCTTTTTAATTAATAATGTATTGACATTTCAGAGTTGTGTTCTGAGGTCGTAAAATGACAGCTATTCAGCTATTGCTAGAGTGCAATTCCTTTCTTTTCAGACACAGGCTGTTTTACCCCAAATTATGTAACATCTACTCCGCAAAAGGCATGAGATGCTCTATCTAGTACTGAGTTCCTCCTGTACAGAAGTACAATGAAATAATTTAGTTTATCCAAAGCATTGCTTTATTTTTCTTCCTGTTTTCCCTAACCTCAAGATGGGAGAAAAAAAAAATCGCCTAAGAAAAAGAAGATCTACACCCTGTATAACCCTCAGATAAGGGGTAAAGGTTATTTACCTTCTTGCTTACTGAAGTCTCTGTCAGGAATTTCAATGAGAAATTAATGGCTGTCACACTGGCTCAGACCGAAGTCCCACCTAGCTCGGTATCTTTTTCCTGAGTGATCAACCCCGCGTGCTTAAGGAGCGTAAGATCCTCAGCTAGCTGCACCTTTGTGACATGGCTGGAACCATGGTGGGAGGGAGTAACAGTGACACAGTGCACAGTGACAATCATCATTCTGATTTTTTGCTACTTTCGGAGACTAAGACAATTATGAGAAAACAAAGATGTTTTGATTTAGAAAAGGGGTGAAAAATTCATGCAAGAGGTCTAGACAGTTTTAAGGTATGTTAGTATTTGTGCTTTGTAACATTTATCAGAAAAAACCTGGCTTAACAGATCTTAGTTTCTGCCTTTGCTTGAAATTGAATAATATCTTATTAAATGGAAAAGCCATCCTTGTGGACTTAGGCTCCTTTTTAGCAAAACTCAAACAGGATTTACCAAGCTGCAACAACATTTCTATTACGTATGGTTTTCCTTCACCCGTTGTTCAACTCCTATCCAGAACATTCAGCTCGGGTTGTGAGCTCAAAATGCAGCTTCCATCAAGTTGCAAGTCTAGTTAATCCCATCCTCACATTGCTACATTTGGGCTAAAACCTAGTAAGTAATCTTGGTATTTCATTTCAAATAAATGCAAAAGCTAGCGATCACTTTAGTCAAAGGGATCAACTCTTACGCTGTTTCAAAGCTCCTCAGATGGGTTTTACTCTCAAACTCAATCCAAGCTCTGTTAACCTAAGCCATGTGGGATGCTGAGATGGATTCCAGTGAACACTCGATTTATAATGGAAAATTAACAGAATCTGACTCACTCCAAGGACCATCAGGAGCCTTGGGGGCTTAAGTGCTTTAGTTGCTCGCATTGTGGGACTTCCAGTGACTTCATGCCACTTCCAGTGAACACAGAGGGGCTGGACTTCCAGAGTCCTCACCTGAAGACTTTTTAATGTTCTCTTACCTTCTCGCACACAAGCTGTGTGTTAAGTGGCCTTGCACAAAACTGCTCACAGTCTAGTGGCTTTAGAACTTGTTCATTTTGCAAAGCCTTTTTGATGGACTGCTGGCGTTTTGGTAATCATTAACGTTTCTGCAAGGACAAACTGTGAAAACGGGGACCAGTTTGGGGCAACGAATCTCAGTCTTCAAAAAGTTTTCCCGCTATTTTTTTCCTGTCCACTCATCCCCCTCAGCAAAGGCTTAATAATTAGTCTCAGAAATTCAAGCTAGGCTTTGTGGTGCACACAAGTATTTTTCAGTGCAGCAGGGCTGCTGATGTGATTTTTCTCCATCAGTACATTTAAACATCGCCCGGAAAGTCACAATAAAAAAGCCTGCTGTACTCCATACAGTTTCTTCTGAAATATGTTCCTGATCTCTTTACAAAATGGGAATGATGGAAGTGCGGAAACTGAGTAATTGAACAGCACTGCCTCCCAACTCTGTATCCATCCTCTGTGTATTACAGAACAGCCTTGATCTGAAACGGCGCGTTTGTGGGAGCTCTCAGCCAACACTAAAATACGGGGTTTGTAACAGAAATGTCCCTGATGGCTTTCAAATGTTCCTTTTTTAATGCCAACACAGCGTGGTATTCTGTGTAACACAGGAAATGATTACCATCTTGATACATGTCACAGATGTGAACTGAACATTTGCATATGGTTTAAATATTCAAGATTTTTTTAGGTAAATATATATTGATGCTGGGTAAAGGCCTAACTCAGAGGGAAGCTTTACCCTGCAGAATTAGGAAGGGCATTCTGGTACAAGGTGACAGAAGAGGAAGCATGGGAGAAGCAGCAAGAGGAACTGAGCATGAAAGAAAAAAAAAGGAAAATAAGACTGGAAGGAAATTCTTCAAAAAGATGCAAGTATCATCTTTTTAACTCCCAGAACTAATCCTTGACCTTTAAGGTCTACTGTGAGTCTCAAGTTTCCTGCATATGGTGAAAAATATATTTCTTTTGAGTTTCTGTGCACTAGGGTTCATATGCACGACATATGTGAAATATAATACTGTAATGAACACAGACTTACTGACGACATTCACCCGTATCAGTGCTGCTATCAGGTCAGTAGATCTTATGTTACAAAACAGAAGTCTCACTGTGCTCTGGTAAGAAAAAAATTTGTAGTGTCAGATGACTGTGCGTGTGACTGGAGTAGTTATCCACGGTTGCCCTGTGCCAAAAAAGGATTACACATAATGCCAGCTCTGTACTTCTGAAAGGTAAGGGGGAAGCTTCTGCTGGAGTGTAAGATGGCAGTTCTCCTTCTTAGCAACTTCCTACAGAAAATGTTAGATTTCTACACTGTTACCCTATCCAGCTGCTGTCAGTAATCTCTCATATCACTCATGAAATCCCAAATAAGTAACTGATTACAAGAGAGCTATGTGCTCTTGCAAGGTTAAGTGCACTAGCTAGTATTTATGAAGGCTGCTCAAGGCAATTATTCTAGGCCAACAGGAAAGTATAACTTCTCAAACTATTTTGCCCCATATATAAAGCTGGCATTCAGGAACACTTCTAAGACACTGAGGCTCAGTTAAATATATAAAAGTACATAGGTTAATTCTAGGAGTATGTCCTGAGTAAAATACAGGTGAATCACAGTCAAACCTTTATCAAGGTACTTAAGACTTTTTATCCTGTGGTAACATCAGTCTGTGGTACCCAGCAGTCCTCTAAAATAAAAAAAATAAATAATAAAAAAAAAATCCCTCCAAATGTTGAGCTTGGAATATGTGTTAACAGGCGTTTTGCTGATGAAGCTCAGACCCTCTCTTCTGCAAACAAATGGGTATGCATCAGCAAACTAACCTTAAATCCATGCTGTTCTCAAATAACATTGTTGGTTTTGACCACTATGCAAAGACTAGAGTCCTACCACAAGACAAGTTTCACAAACAGCTAAGTAATAACTTCATAAATCTACCAGTTTCTCTCCATGTGTAGCTTTTTGTAGCTCCAGGTACTGTGACAGGAATCACTTGTAATAAGTTTCATCTTGATGCAGTGAAGCTGTGTTCTGTGTATTCTTCCCCTGTCCCCCTTCACTTTGGAAGGTCCTTCCCTGCATCCACTCAGGGACTTTAGAAACTAGTGGTTTTATTCCTGCTATACCTGAAAAACATGGCTAAAAATGAGCTGGGTGTGTATTTTCTACAATCTCACTATAAATCTGAGTAAACATCGCAGTGTTCATTCAGTGTGTATATATAACAGACATAACTTGGCTCTCATGATTATTGTTAGTCCCAGTCAAGTTGGAAAGAATCCAGGTTAATTCAGCTGGATTTTTTTTTTAAGTGCAAGTTTTCCTTATGTAGTCTCAGCTGTGTGAAAAACAATGTGTGGGTTGGGGGATATTGAACTAGCAGGTCTTAGGTCGTAGTGTGCCAATTTTCAGAGCAGGACAGTATTTAGTGAGAGTAATGACAATCCTAATAACTACAAGAAAAGGAAAATTAGAAACATTTTGCTCTACCAGTGCTTTTGTATAGCATTCCTGTCAAGGTTCCAGCAGCTATGGTGTTCAGGTCATCTTCTGCACCTCGTGTTTTTTCAATGATGACTCCGAATGCACTGTAAAGTAGAGCTGGGAAAGAAAAAGGTATGAAAAAAATTCAAGTTAAAACTCCCATTCTCTGAGACACAAGACTTGGAATCCAAGGCTCAGTGTAACTATTTAGACGATGCTCCTGAAGCACAGATTTTCTGTTTATTTAAAGGTGAAGAATCATCTGCAAAATCCCATCTTTGGTGTTTTTTTCCAGACCTATTTCTGTTTTACAGATAATTTTTCTTTCTCTAGCTGTAGTTTGGTTAAAAAGCAGCACTCTTCATAACATCTAGTATTGCCTCAAGACATGATAACTACATCATATGGAGCACTGACTTAAGTTTAAGACCATTTTGCTAGTTCAAATGTGTTTGAAAAATTTTTGAGGGCTTAGCTTTGCACTGGCAACCTTTATACTGCCTTCTGTGATGGCATGAAACTAAAGTCAACACTTTCTAGGTAGCAGAGAAAATTGTTGCCCACGTGTGACTGATGTAAAATGCAAGTTAAATGCAGCATTGAGATCGTGTCATCAAGGGCTGAAGTACAATGAGCTACATTTCCCTTATAAATGACTGTCAGATTGCCTGGGATTTGACATCGACTCCTGCTTCACCTCTGCCTGCATGTGAAAATTTTGTCCCCAGAGGAACTTTTGCTTTGGGAGAACGTGGAGGACTGTCCTGGAAAAGATTAGCAAGAGAAACGCACAGGCTGTTATCAAGGATGCATATATAATCTATGCATTCTGATGAAGGGAGAAGGCACCCGCACCCTCACCCCTCATGATATAATCACATTTCATGCCGACAAAGAACAGTAGAGTATGTCCTCCTTTTAAAGTGATAAAGTCACCATGCCACTTTAATTCATCCCTTGTCCTCCAAGAATTTGAAATCTTTACTTCTGCTGAAAAGCATGCAAATCCTTCTTAAGCAACCACATTAATGCTGATGAGTTAACAGCAGCATCTTCCTCCATTCAGCACAGGGAATGGTGTTTTACCTTGTCTTAGTAGCGTGTAGTATTAGCAATGTGAGGGGAAGGAAAAGCTGAATTCCACAACAATTTTTAAAATAGTTTAACACAGATGTTGCTACCTCTGTTCAGGAACAGAATGACAAAAATCGTCGGTAGTGACAAAAGGAATGTCTGAGGTACAGAAATGCTGCACAAGTGAAAGAAGATACAAAAATACTTCAGCTCCTTGAAAGTAATTTCTCTGGTAGCTAGGACAAGGCAGAGCTGTATCAAATCCAAAAATATCAAGTTCTGCCTCACTCTGTGACTTGGGAGGTTGTATTTTATAAGAAAAATAACAACGTTACTGGAATGCACAAACATTTTCCTGAGTAATCTTTCTTCAAACACAGCTGAAAAAACTTGTTAATGTGTCACTTAGCCTGGAACCTTGAACTGCAGTGTGCCTGCATCTCAGTTTGCAGGCATGTTTTGATTAGATTTGGAATAGAAAATGAAAAGGGAAAAAAAAACCCAAAACCACCACCAATCTCAGCAGGCAATATGCACCTCTTCTGAAAAGTGCCATTCCCACTGTAGTTCAGAATCCCGTCCCTAACCGTGACCTCTGCATTATGCCTCGAAAGCTGATGTCTGAGCTACACAACAGGCTAATCTACTCTTTAGAAATAAGACTGAAAGAAAATGGAACAAATGCAACAGCCTATGGTTTGATGCATTTTTCAAAATTCAAATATACGCGAAGTGGTTTATAACATGATGCGATCTCTCTTTTAAATACTGCTAATTTCTCTTCTATTACCACTTTGTTGGGCAATGAGTTCTATGATTAATCTTCCAAGTCATTTCATCGGTTCTGGATTTCTCCTTTCACAGTAATTGAGCACCTTCAGGTCTCTTAAGATTGTGGGAGGGGAGGAACCAAAGTGCTTTTATTCTCTAGGGCATTAGTTATTTCACTGACTTTTATTAAATCATCTGAAGTTGTTTTTCCAAGGCAACTGATGTGATTTTATTTCCTGGGCCCCCTCCCCACCCAAACCTCAGTCCACATAAGTTTTTCTTACACATCTCACATTTGCGAGAAGTTTTTCTCACAAATCATCAATTATCAGGCTTTTGATAATTTTCTTTTTTTTTCTAACCCATATTAGTGATGAGCAATGTTTAGATTTAAAGTGGGTGGTATCATATGTGATTTTGCTAGCTAAGCTACCGCCATAAAAGGGTAAATCTTTGTAGTCACTATCACATTTCTTCTACAGATAAGCATTTTGTTGACTCTAACTGGAAAAAGACATCTGGCAGTTGCTCACATGACCACTGAGACTCTTCTTAGGTTATTAAAGTTATTTCAGAAGTATTCAATTAGAATTTTTGCCTTAAGTTGTGAATTAACTGGCATTTATTAGCAAGTAAGCATTATCTATAATTTTCAGTTATTCCTGTTATTCCATAGCTAGAGTTCTTGTTTGTAATATACTAAAAATTTGGGGGTTTAATTACAGGCTTTTGGCTACTTATGCTTCAAATCCTTTTTTAGCCTTTAATTTCCTTTTCAGTGTCTACTGAAATGCCTTCATGTCCCAAAGAAAAAAAAACCTGCAGTTTTTCCAAAATTCAGAGAAAATTCTCCCATCAAACAGTTACATCTTTAAATTGTTTTCCCTACAAAATACCAAGTTCACTTACCCAGAGATCCCAGAGTGTTAGCCCATAGCGCTCCTTGCCTTGTCACCATATTTAGAATTCTATAAGGGAGTTAAAAAGGTATAAAAAGTGTTTATGACCGTAGGTGTAACGTGTTCAGGCTGTACATTTGATTAATAAAACTGCAATAGGGAATCAAAACGCCTTCAACACAGTGAGGAAAAGCACACAGATTGCCAATACATCATCTCCTCTGTTACACATGCTACGAATAGTAACACAGGCAATATTGAAGGCAAAATTAGTCAAGTCTTAAGAAAATCTTTTCCTCTTTTCAAGTCAAACTTGCCACTTAGCAAGAATCCAATCTCTTCCCTTCAAATGACTTTCTAACCCTAGGTGCTAAGTGCTCCTTAGGTGGTGACTACACAACAGCTACTGAGAATGACTGATACACCTGTGCTGACTTAACTGGGCAAAAGGCCCCCAAGAAACCCAGAGTGCTCTTCTAGAGGGTGCAGGGAACACAGGGGCCCTGTGGCAGGAGTGTGGTGATGCCCAAACAAATGGTCTGGGTATTAAAACCAAGTCGGAACTAAGGCAAGTCCGGACGAAAAGAGGAAATCTTTTGCACTTCATTTGTCAAACTTTCGTACTCAACAGAAGGTAAAATATTTCTGAATGTATGCTTCCAGACTAGCACTAAAGAGGCACAGCAGATCTTCAGCGCGCTCTCAGGGAAGCACAAGACCATTCCTTTTTGGCATCAGCTGCCTCCAGAACGGTGACAACAGCAGCCAGAAGAAATGACTGAGCTTTATCTCCCAGCAGGGTAACACTATCACAGGCGCAGTACTGCTCTGGACAGTTGACTACTACTGGAATTTAGTTTAGCATTTAAAGCGTCACACATTATGTTCCTTCTGATTTGAGTTCATTTTCCACTATTTTTCCCTTTTTTTAATTTTCATGAGGAGGAAGTGCAGGCCGTCACTGAATATGGTCAGGTAATGAACTGAACAATAATGGAAAAACTTCATTTTGAAACAAGAGAAAAAATCCAAGAGGCTAGGGTACTGACAATCTCCCCTAATTACACCCTACCCCCAATTTTGTTAATATTACATCGATTCTGAATGGATGAGAAAATTCATAATTTTAATAACTGTGACATACTGAGATCTGATGACAGGGGATTAACAGCAAAATTCAAATTACTAATAAAATGTGTGTGTACATTAAGGATAAATTTGAAGGAAATCTATCTAGGCAAGTGTCTTCCCTGTATCTGATTAGGAAAACATGGAACTTAATAAACTGTTTCAAGGGAGTGACCTTCAACAGGGCTTTCCCCTGAAGGGTGAGGACTAAGGGCAGCGTGTGCACTGCCTGCCACCTGCTGGGCTCGACCCATCAAAGTCTGCACTTCAAAATATGGCTTTGTCTGACTCAGCTCATTCTGAATACATAAATACAATTCTGTGCATCTAGAACATTATGGAAGAGTCATAATTATAGTGGGGGATATTTTGGTTCTAACTCTAGAGATGGTAAAAAAAAAGGAGATGAAGAGTACAGAAACAGAATTTAAAAAGGAGCAGAGCCAGTACAAACTGTAATAGGAAATATTAAATTCCTACTGTAAAATTCCCTTTTTCCAAAGTTATCAGGGGAGTGAAAATGGATTCCTCCAGTTATTCCACTCTTCTAGTTTACCATGTCTCCTTCACAAGCACTTCAGTTTAGACATAACTGTAAGAAAACTTCAAATAATTCTAGAAGGAGAAGCATACTGCCAGAGAAAAATGTGTTCCTATCTTTACTGCATTCTTTCAAACAATCAGGTAAGGTGAAAACCTGGGAATGCCACGGGTGTTCACAGTCGCTGTAACCAGAACAACTTCCACCATGCAACACTTGCTCAGCAGCACACACCAATGTCATCCCCAGTGCAAATCCAGGCAGGCCCCATTTCTGCATTTTAATCTCTTTCAGGTTTTGAAAAGTTTGGGAAAGAGAGAACTCACTCTCAGGTAAGTGACTGCAAAAAAATAGCTCAAAGCAAACTGTGCTGCTCCTGGGAATATTTCAACATATAAAAACCACAGTTTTGACTGCAAAGTAGATTTCTAGTAAACATCAAAGTAGTAATTTAATCTCAAATATTTAAGGTTAAGTCAGAGGACATACCAATTGTCACTATATGAAAAGCAAAAAGCTTGAACTGAACATCATTCTAGCTCAAAATATTTCATAACTTGATGAAGACAAACACTGACTCTCCTTTGTCCTCACTAAAGACACATTTATTTTTGCAGTATATTCGGATCTAACCTTGGATAAAATGGAAGAAACAACTCTTGTTACTAAGGTGTACTTTTCTGAGATGAAACACTTACTGTACATTTCTAGGTTTTGACCACGCCATATTCTGTGTCTCCTTCAAGCCAAGTCGCAAACCATTCAGAGCACCAAATGCTGCCCCTAGTTAGCACAATATCAGTTATTACTTTTTAAAAGAAAGAATAACAAAAAGAATAATACTAGAAGCAAATACTGGGAATGGACTTCAGCGTATAGATTGAAGTCAAGTAGCTGTTTATGTAAGAGACTGCAGAACAAGACATTTACAGTCTCGACAATTACTGCAGTACGTAGGTATCACCTGGAGAGCCGGGAAAAGTGCAAAACACAACCACCCACCTGTCATACAACATCCTCCAATGGTAAAAAAAGCCAGCTCAAATCTGCCTCTAGTTTTGTTGGCTCCTGTGGGCAAGATAAACTCATCTGTATCCTGCAGAAAAACAAAACAAACATATGTGTATTTTCCAAGTGTACCTGCTTTAAAATGTAGGCCATGTTAATTTTTTTTCCTTTAATCTATACAGTGAAAAGACAGACACGATCAGTGTTTCTGGAAAACTGTTGTCTATACTAGCTCAGAGATGGAATATACTCCGTGTATACTTTAAGAAGAATGAAAAAATTTTGACTTTAGAAAGATAAAACTGTCTGTGAACTTATTTTTTCCAGGTAGCCAAGGAATTTATGTTGTGTGGTTTGTTGGTGTTTTTTTTTTTTTAAATGACTATTTGCTTAATTATTTATTACATCTTGCAGCAGGCAATACAACACTTCCTGTCCTCTAAAAATCTTCCTGTTTTCTGATTATGCAGCACCATCTCCTCACTAAGCAATCTGTACTGATGCAGTAATGCATTAAGGTTTCCCATTACCCTGACGCTAAAGAAAAACTGCCTTTGTACCAGAAGAAGTATTTCCTTGCGGTGAAATCAGTGACCTATTTTGAAGACACAAAAAAAAAGCCAGGGACACTTTCAAAACTAGTGATGGTCAGGCATGAAATACGTGAGGTTGGTATTTTTCTTGTGCATCTTTCTCCTATACTGACAGGCTTGTGTTCTCATAGAACAGATCGGTCTAAAAAGTAACAGAAATGGGCTGGTAACCAGTATATGTGCAGGGGTAAGGTGGGTGCCAAAGCACTTTTCCAATATGAGACACTGACAAGATGCACCAGGTGCTGATACGGTGCTAAACCAGTAAGATGTCTCTTTATGCTTCTGTGCTTTCCAGTCACAGTATTAGTCACCCTCTATTTAACTGATACACGACACAACTACTGCAGGCTCACAGAACTGCATTCTAAGGGGTTTCCTTAGTCCATACTTGGCACTAAATGTGAATGGCAATACATAAAAACCACAACTTCTAAAATCGTGAATACTTTTTTCAATAAACAGAATGTATAACATGGTTTCTATTTTCCCTGTAACTGTGTATTTGGAGAAATTCAGTGTGTACACTAGTTCCAGTACTTAAAGGGGCTACAGGAAAGGTGAGGAGGGACTCTTGATCAGAGGGTGTAGGGTAGGATGATGGGTGATGGTTTTAAACTGAAAAAGGGCAGATTTACATTAGACAGAAGGAAGAAATTCCTCCCTGTGAGGGGGGTGAGGCCCTGGCACAGGCTGCCCAGAGAAGCTGTGGCTGCCCCCTCCCTGGCAGGG